AAAAAGAATGCATGGAATTGAATGCAGTTTTCACCAATGTATTGCTAGAGGTCTAAATTAAAATATAGGAAGAAAAAAATTAGAGAGTTGCCACCTGTTTGAAAATTGAAGTTTAAGTAAATTGATAAGAAAAAATGAATATTGCAATATGGGCGTCAAAAGAAAGAGGCTGAAGAAGGCTTACAGCCAAAAATATTTTTTAGAGTTGCCACCTGTTTGAAAATTTACATTTAATTTAATTTATAAGATAAATTGAATATTGCAATATGGGTATCAAACTAAAGGGGTTTTGGAAATGTTATTGCCGAAAATATTTTTAGGGAGGGCTGCCTAAAAAAAAAAAAATTTTTTATTGTAATTAATTGATAAAATAAATGAAATCTATATCTACATCTATACATATACTAAAATTCAGGTCGATGTCTGTACCTTATAGATATTAAAGAAAAATTGATATGTTGGGTTTTTATTAAAGCTACAGAAGCCAAATAAACAATTTTTAAAATCTTTGAATCTCTGCCTGTCTGTATATTTGTACGCGGATCAGTCGAAAACATGGAATTGAATGCAGTTTTCACCGATGTATCGCTAGAAATCTAGCTTCCAATATAGAAGAAAAAATTAGAGAGAGTTGCCACCTGTGTTTAAAATTTCAGTTTAGGTCAATTGATACGGTAAAGTGAATACTGCAATATGGCTGTCCAAAGAAAGAAATTTACAAAGGCTTACAGCTGAAAATATTTTTGTGGCAGGTTGCCACCTATTTGAAAACTTTAATTTAATTTAATTGATAGCATAAATTAAATATTGCAATATTGGCATCAAACTAAAGAGGCTAGGAAATTTTAATGCTGAAAATATTTTTTTGGGATTTGCCAACTGATTGAAAAATTGTATTCATTAAAATTTGTAAACTAAATGAAATATTGCAATACGAATATTAAACTAAAGAGGATTAGGAAGCTTACTTTTGAAAATATTCTTGAAGCGGGTTGCCACTTATTTGAAAACTTTAATTCAGTTAAATTTATAATATAAACTAAGTGTTGCCATATGGGGATCAAACGAGAGTATTTGAGAATAATAAAATTGCAACAGGCCGATATCTGTACATAATAGATGTTAAAGAAAAATTAATAGGGGGGTTATTAGATCAAAAGAAGCCAAATATAAAATTTTGGTATGTTTGTCTGTATGTTTGTAAGCGCATCACGCAAAAGCTAATGTATGGAGTTAAACTCAGTTTTCACCGATGTACATATTGCTAGAGCTCTAATTGAAAATATAGAATCCATTGTTTTTTTTTTTGTTTTAGTTTATCTTCGATCATTATTCCTAGGTATTTGATCGTATTAACTTTTTCCAGTGCGTCGTTGTTTATATTTAGAGTTAGCAACGGACCGTTCTCAAAATTTCGCCTTGATATAACCACAAACTAAATTTTTTTTGTGTGGAAGGTTTTTCGCTAAAAAAAATTAAAACTTTTCGTTGTTGCTGCCAAAAAATTAAAAAATCTGAGACGTCACGTTTTAAAATTTCATACAGTTCTCTTTACAATGTATTTCACTAAACTACTAAACGGCTGCATCGACTTGGTTCATATTTGGCAACACCTTGAAAACAAATATTCTGACCAAAAATGTACTCGGTATGTAGCTCGGGTTATTCCTAAAATTCTTATACAGACTAAAACGTAAAAAACCAATATATCTCTAAAACCAATTACGGTGGGGAACTGAAACTTAGCACTGATGCATATATTGCAAATGCATTGGGAAAGGGGGCGTGGCTCCTTCCTTCCATACAAACTGAACTTCTCATATAGCTTATCTCTGGAACTGCTTACGCTAACGTCCTGAAATTCTACACAGCTACATATCGTCCCGTTTCTGTTTCCGATTGGGAACCATTTTCTCCTAGATTTCTAAATCCCATTGAACTATTGTAACTTTGTCTTTAATTTTCAGTAAGGTAAAATTTATGTGAAAATTTTGGAAGAATATTTTTTAATTTTTCACAAAGAATGGAGCTTTGCTTTTACGAGTTTCGCTATAAATTTTCCTATCTACATACCTATTTGCATAAAATGATAGCCGTTTTCGTTGTTCGGAATAAACTCAAAAAACACTGAACAGAGTTCCGTCAGATTGTCGGAGGTTATCTTACATACATATATGGTCCAATTACATGCTACTAGAAAACTCGCTAGGTGTTGCTGGAGTATAGTGGAGTATAAAAATCGTATTTATTAACCGATTTCGTTCAAATTTTAAATGTGAGCTATGTAGCTGTATGATGGAAAATTATTTTGATTAAAATTTACCTGATTAGTGCCGCTGGAATTAAGGTTGAAATTCATAACACGTATTCATTTTATGGTAAGCAATGGTTTTGCAGAAAATGAACCCAATGGATGGCGCTGCAGACGAAATGTATAGAAACCCCGTGTGGTTGGTCTGCTTTGGCACTATGTTTAAGTTATACGAATTTAGTTTTCAGATGTCTAAATGAAGGATGGGGTTAAGTTTTTCTGACGTCCTTATGCACGATCATGCGGTCTTGCATCTAATCATAATAATAATAAATTTTACCACGAATTGTAAAAGTGGTGAATTAACAAGGAAAGATCACCGTAGGTATATCAATTGCTTCATTTGAAAGATACTTAAGAGATCACACGACTAATTTAGCAATGTACCGGAAAACTATTCATCCTGTGGGACAGCGAGGATTCTTGGCCCTCCTATAAAATAAAACGCACTTCTGTGCTCTTGAGTTTCCCTATAAGAACTTTTATTGGCATACGCATCGCACCAATGTTGTAGTTGCAAGATCATACAAAAAGATTACGCATGCCTGGCAGAGATCTCACAGGGGGAAATAAGACCATCGGTAAAGCTCATGACACCGAAAGGGATTGGTATTCCATATGGTATCACAGCGTTACTATTATTGGCCTATATGTGAAGCGGATACTGTGCCTTATTGGTTTCAACTTAAATCAAAAATTTTGACTTTACAGACTAATTTTGTTTTTAAACGCTCTTTTGCATTGGTCAACGCAAAAGCTCTTATTAGGCGCCAGGAAGTAAGCGGGCATTGGCTAGTCTTTTAATAAATATCGAATCCTTCTGATTCTTATGGAGTTTTGCTTTGCTTTAAACGCGCAAAATGTTTGATTCAAAGTCTTGCGAAATAGTTAAAGAAAATGGCTAAAGGAAGACTTTTTCGTCTCCTGTAAAATTTTTAAAATGGGACTTAGCAACTTTTCTTTCTAAGCTAGCGATATGCTATTTAATCGACAATAAAGTCAAACATTTTAGTTATGAATTCATTTTAAACAAAGAATTCAAGCCGTGGCTGCTTAAACAAAATGAGTACACAAAGTATATTAGACATTTTTTTGTTTGGAAGAAACTTCCAAAAATCAACGCAATTTTTTACCAACTGGCACTTAGTTATACAACAGTGTCAACTTGTAGGCGAATTTATTGTATTTTCCTGAGTTTTGCACGAAGTTTAGGTAAGTTTTTATGTTTTTGTTGTAGTATGAACTACGTTTTTATAAAAAATTCGCGGAAAAATTTAAGTAAAAAAGTTACATATGTACATTGTGAAAAATTCCCCGTGCCAAATACATACATATGTATCTATACAGAAATTTATAACTTATAATTTGGTGCGATTTTTATTTCAACTTTAATTTATGTTTTAAATTATTTAAAAGTATTAGCATTAAAATTTTGTATTATGGAAATTTTTATCTATATTTTTTTATATTTTTTTTTATGTTTTCTTATTTTTAAATAGAAAATATTCAAAAATACAGCATTGAAGTTGACGTCCCGATTTCAATAATGCAAAAGTTGACCGTGGCTCAAAGGTCGGGTCTTCGAAAAATTAATTCGTATCGTTGTAAATATGATTAAACCCCTTTTTTTCTGATATACATGTTTGTATACTGAGTATGTAAACTACTGTATACTGAGTATTTGAAAAAAAAAAAAAAACATTTAAAATGAAAAAATACCTCTTTTATAAAAAATATTTTGAATAATAAAATTACTAGCCGATTTAAAAAAAATGTATATCGTGTTAAACGCAATCAAACCTTCGTTCTTCTGATATGCGTATTTGTATACTTCGTATATAAAAATTTGAGAAAAAACCCTTAAAAGGAAAAAATACCTTTTTTATGCAAACAAAAAATTACTAACCGATTTTTAAAAAATTTGTATCGTTGTAAAGTTGATTAATCCCCCTTTCTTCTGGTTTGCATATTTGTATACTTCGTATATAAAATTTGAGAAAAAACACTTAAAAGAAAAAATACCTTTTTTTAAAAAAATATTTTAAATAAAAAAATTACAAATCGATTTTGAAAAAATTGGTATCGTTGTAAAGGATACCAGAAAACTTATACTTTCCTAAACCCTAAATTTTCTAATTATAATAACAAAAAAAAATTTAATCCAAAACATTTTGCCCTCTATATAAACTAGTTAGTTATAAATTAGTCCTTGACGTATATTTTTTTCAAAAATAAATATTAAAAATTTCCAATAAAAAATCTTCAGTGTTTAAAAATGGTTAAATAAATAATTGGATATTAATATTGGAAGTATCCTGAAGAAAGCCACAGTTTTCGTATCGAAAAATATTGATTTCCAAGGATTGTATACCATTTGTACGAAAAGTTGTTTTCCCGGTATGAAATACATGGAAAACTTTGAGCGCTTCTAGCACGCCCTAAATATTTTTTGATTTCAAAATAAAACATATGGGGGTATATTTTTTCGGTGTAGAACAATTTTAGGGGTAGGCGGCATTGAAATTCCGACTGTTTCGGACCGATCTAATGCACACAAGTATATGATGTTGCTACTGGCAAATGCCAAATAAAGGTATCGAAACAAATGTCATTACTTTCACTTATTTTAATATACTTTGCTATATAAATGCATGTATTAACCATAATAAATATTTTAAAACTGCTTCAGGGCCGCTGCAATGACTTTACGTACCGTTTTACTGTCGCTTCAAGCTTTACTAGCTGCTGCAGAGCCGGATGATCCACAGGACGCAGTGGTCGCTTATCAATATAAAGACAAATATCAGCTGTTTCTAATGACAGCTAAGCATTGGACAAATGTGTACGCTGGAGGTAACTAATATTGTTTGTTGAAAACTTATGTGTTCGGTTTCACAACATTTGTCTCTTTTAAAGGTCCACACAATTTTACTGAGTGTGATACAAAAATTCAACGCTTGAAAGATATGGGAATTGATGAACATGACGCGCGGGCTGTTTTGTCAAAAGAAAATTGGGATTTGGAAAAAGCGACCGAGAGCTTATTTAGTTAGCTTCTTTTTTTAACTAAGAATTTTCTGAGAAATAAGAAATTGTCAAAAATATTGTTTAGCGAAGTTTGATATTTATTTAAAAAATAATTACCCATATGATTGAAAAATCCGGCTTTATTATTACTCAAACAGGGGAATAAGACAAAATTAATACGTGGTCAGTATGAGGCCCTCGATTTTTTTTAATTATTGAAATCTTGGCAAAATATTCGTATAATTGTTTTATTATGTTTATTATAAGCTTATAATTCTGCTTACTTACAAGTACTTTTAACTTTCTTAACTTAGAGAAATTTTACGCAATTTTTTGTTAACAAAAATATTCTGATCTCAGCTAAAACCCAAATCTTTCATCAACGGCTTCGTATGCTGATCTATGATCAATCAAAGATGCGATGAGTTGATCGATAACAGGGAGAAAAGATTCTGTACGAAAATTTTATTTCTGTGATAATGTTACTGAAAGCGATTTTCCATGATCAACACGTTTTAGTGGTACATTAAGAGCACGAATAAGTACATATCGTTAGTATAGTAAGGAAAGGGTGTAACTCATGTCGTCGCTTAAATACGAAAAGCCGTTACTAACTAAAAATCCCAAATTCACTTTTTGATCGATTTTGAGGAACTTCATCAAAGTATAGGTCGTTTTATGCAATAAAAAATTTTATATCTCATACCTTGCTGTCTAAGCAGTGAAAAAAAAAGTTCTACAAAATTGAAACAAGGAACGGCGGCTGATTCTCCTACCAATTTTAACTAGTGAGCACAAAAAGCGATAAATAATGTAAAACTGTTTTACAGCATTCATTGCTTTATATTTTCCTCTCATATTCGGCACGTTGTCATAGGATTGATAACGACAATTATGTATATCAATCACTTGTCTCCGCATAAATTCAATAAGGGCTTCTGCCATATCTATACCTTTGTGACCATAATTAAGAATGGAAGTAATAAAACGCTCTGGATCGAAATTGTCCATGTATCCAAACTCACTGTTAATTGATGTACATAAGTCATTTACAGTGGTGCAAAAATAGGGACACCACATTTTGACAAATTTTTCCTATTTTTCTTATGTTCATTTAATATTTATTATATTTATAAAAGTATAGCTCATTATCTAACAAAAACTATATAAAAAAATATTTCAGACTTTGAGCAAAAATTATGAAAATTCTGCAATTTTGCATCTAAATTTCTAATTTTTTTAATCAGATTTTTCAGATTTTTTTTTGTGTATGCACTTTTATAGTCCATTAAATTTTAGTAGAATAAAGTCCAAGTTTTAAGTTGCTAAAAAAACGCTTTGATTTTTGGCAATTTTTTAACGCATTTTCTTCATACAAAGTATGCTCGAAAAATTTTTTGTGGAAAAAAGTGCGTATACATTCAGAATAAAAATTACCAAAAATCAACGGGATTTTAGTAACATAAAACCTGCACTTTGTTCTACGGAAATTTAATGGGCTATAAAAGTGCGTACTCAAAAAATTCTAAAAAATCGTATTAAAGAGTTGAAAGGTTAGATGAAAGTTTGCGGAATTTTTATAATCTTTGCACAAAGTTTGACATATTTATTTATATGGTTTTTGTTAGCTATACTTTTATAAAAAAATAATAAATATTAAATCAACAAAAGAAAAATACGAAAAATTTGTAAAGGTTTCGTGTCCCTATTTATTTTTCCACATCGTGTATAGAATCCAACTAACCAGAACAAGATTTCAATTGCGTATACGGTTTGATATTTCGAATAGCAATTTCTTCTACTATCGATCAGGGCAAATAATTAGCGTGCTTTATTGGCTATTTCTTCCAAGTGACCAGCGTGAAGAGGATCAAACTGTGTTATCTTTTCGAGAATACCAAGAAAGTTTCCATTGTTGGGGGAACCAATAATTTCATCAACACCATGAAAGGGCAACACACGCGCTGCAACAGACTTTAGCACTACCCAGAATTGCAGGGGTCGACTGTTAATCGCTGTGAAAATTAAGACCCCTGTTATGGTTCACAACTCAACTTAGGTGGGTTGTGTCTGAGACAACTCGACTTGTAGACAACTCAATTATTTATTGCTATTGCCGTTCACAACTGTTTTCAGTGGACTGTAGCCATTAAAAAAGTCGGCAATTCGATACAACTTTTAATATATTAATAAGATAAGACAACTGACAGACAACTATGTTTTCAAAGTTGAGTTGAGTTGTGTCTCACAATACCAATATACAACTTACAACTCAACTATCTTTAAAGTTGTGAATCATAATAGGGGTTTTCAACTCACAAAGGCATATGGAAAGGCTCATAATTGCGGCGGCAGCGTTTTTACCGCCGACGTTTTTCGGTTGATTTTTTTTTTTTTTTTTACCGCCCAGCTGGGATGGCACAATGTTGACTGGATATTGGCTGTAGTAGTTTTTATTATTTTCACAAGTTTGGCAATGTGTTTATTCTCAGTGCTCCCAAGTTTTGAATTTGAAAAGCACTAAACCCAAGAAAAGTCGCGTTTTTCTCGAAAAAAGCACCCATTTTTTGTACTATTTAAATGTTACAATTTTCTTCGTTTTGCTTAATTTTTTCTACAATTCCTATGAAACGAAAGCAATAACCAAAAACGAAGTTTCATGAAGTGCGTAGTCTAAATCTGCACTGCTGTCTCTTATGATCTTTTGAACTAAAGGAACATAAAGAACTTTTCTTTCGACCGCTTAACACCTGAAACATAACGAAGTTTGATTTTCCTTTTTTATGTGTCTTATAGCGTTTTCTTTTCTCGAAATAATGTTGCGTTTGTTCTGCTCTGCGCCAAGGCTGTCAAGCTTTCGTGTTCCTTTCTCAGTATCTTCACATGCATATTGCGTTCCCTTTCTTTAAAATGTTGCACCCTGATAATGTTGCCATATAAGAAGGTGACATTTTTTTCGGCAAAAGAAAACGCCATTATTTGAGCGTATTCATTGGCGCATAGTGGGACAAATATTTTTGTGCCAAAAAAGCTGTCTACTCTTCAAATCCAACCCGATTATGATTAATCTCTTTTTTCAAAAGGTTCGTTAGATATTAATTTTACTGTTAGGAGATGCTGCTGCTTTTTTGAATAGTTGTAAAAAAAATATAAAAAATTCAGTCCAACCGAAAGGTCTAAAGGGCCATTCCTGGTCCCAGCAATGGCGAATTACCGAATGCAATTTTGATATAATTGAAATTGCTGCTACATATTATGTTGGTAAACATATGCTCTCTCGCATATGATTGTCATTGTGACATGATTTTGTTTAGATTTTTGTAAAGTGGCTTAAAAAACTTACGATCGCTGTGAATTTCGCCCCCCTTTTTGTTAAGATTTACAGATTTGGTGTCTTCAAACTAAAAACAAAAGCTCCAAAAAACGCACTAAGCACTAAACTCTAAAATTTTCGCGTTTTGAATAAAGAAAAGCACTGAATTTAATGCGAAAAGCACCAAGTTGGCAACAGTGTTCATTCGTTTTTATTTCCACCAAATCAACATACACGCCCAGGGTTGGCACCTCACGAAACCGATTGCGTAGCAAAAGACCAGAAAAATCGCAGTAAAAAATAAAACATCGTAGCAAAAGATAAAAATTAGTTATTGTTTTAAATTCATATGCATGTTTAATGTTTTAAAACAAAACAATTAAATTTCAATAACATTTGTACTCTTTTAAGAATTGCGTTATACTTGTTTCTTTTCCAGTGGCGTTTTCTAAATACCGAACTTAAAGAACTAAACACTTTATGCCACTTTCGCCATAAATAAGTGAAAATTTACTCTATTTGAGAATATCGATAATTCGATTTCTACGGAATATTGCCTCTGTTGAGCCACTTTTTATCTGTGGCAACGAATCCATCGTGGAAGTAGTTCGACACGCAGTCATTGTTACCTCTTTCCGCAATTTCCTTTTCCTCTTGCACATTGAATCTTTCTGAAATTTGTCCGGTGGTGTCTACTAATGTTTTTAGTCAATTTGCAATAAGAGTGTACATTTAGATCTTGAAGCCATTACCTGTTTACCACATTTTTGAAGTTATAGTGATTATAGTTGAATAAAATATAAAAACAGACTCCGACAAGCAGTCAGTCATTGTTCGTTAATTCTTCTTTCTCTGTATTCGTACCATTAGTAGTACAATAACAAACCGATCTTTCTGCTTTGTGACACCTGCTGTCTAAAATATCCACACGTGTTTGTGAAAAGTTATCAGCATGGCCCCTGGGGCCCAAAAACTCGGGGATAATATATATGCCCTATTATCCCCACCCACCTGTGCTAAAAGCAAAAAAACTATTAATATTAGTGAAGAGTGTCCCGAGCTCCCAGTGACTAAAAAAGACGATCCTTAATTCGTACCAATAAAACCAAAAGACACAAATAAATCATTCACCGAACATTAAATTTTTTGCATTACATAAATCTCTTCTTTCCATGTGTAAGCAAATTAATTCTATTTCCCAACGATCTGACGGCAGCTTAGTGGTCCTGGTGAAAAATCGTGAACATGCGAAAAAGTTTATCGATGCCTGCTTACTTCCTGGTCTGTGTGCAATTACCGCCAACTACTACGATAACCTCAACTGCGTTAAGGGCTCTGTATATGCCCCTTTTCTCAAAAACGTCCCCGAAAACAAACACGTCGATGGCTTCAAAGAGTATAACGTAACTAACGTTTATAAATTCCAGCGTGTTACCGAAGGAGTCCCACAGGAGTAATCTTAATTTCTTTCGACAACTACTTTCTTCCGGACAAGATTGACATCGCATGGATCATCACCAAAGTACGTCCCTTCTACCCGAACCCTATGCGCTGCAAAAATTGCCAGAAGTTAGGGCACGCGCTGAAGTTCTGCAAAATTATGCCAGGTTGCCAATCATGTAATCTCCCCCCTCACACTCCCGCTCCATGCATCCGCACCTACTGTGCAAATTGTGCAGGCGATCATGCTGCTTTATCCAACTCGTGCCAGAAATACCAGCAAGCGAAAGAAATTATGAAAATAAAAACGCAAGAAAAATGCAAAATATACAAAGCCCGGAATCCCCTCTCCCTTAGTCCAAACTCGCTCGCTAACATTA